TCTTCTTCCTCTTCTTCCTCTTCCTCTTCCTCTTCCTCTTCCTCTTCCTCCTCCTCCTCCTCCTCCTCCTCCTCCTCCTCCTCCTCCTCCTCCTCCTCTTCCTCTTCTTCTTCTTCTTTTTCAGAGATAGGGTTTCTCTGTGTAGTCCTACCTAGCTGTCCTAAAACTCACTTTGTAGAGCAGGCTGGCCTCGAACTCACAGAGATCCTTCTGCCTCTGCCTCCCAAGTGCTGGGATTAAAGGTGTGCACCACCAGCACCACTGGTATTCCAAATTCTTAGCTACAGAAGGGGTTGGAACAGTGACCACACAGACAGTGGAAAGCCCTCCTCTATGCCCATCTCTAGGGCATGGTTCCGGACTGCACATGAGTCATTGCGCCATTTGCTGATTCCTATGTACGCATTTGAAAACGAAGTTTGGTTTTTTTTTAATTTCTAAAATAACAGTTAACTATTGCAAAGTTGTTTTTTTTTTTTTTATTTTCTTTCTCCTTTTTTGGTACTGGAGTTGAACCTAGGACTTTGTTCCTGTGAGCAAGGGCTCTACCATCGAGCTACATCCCAAGGTCACCTGGCCATCTTTGAAAATGCCAAAAGGCACTTTTGTTATAACTGTTGATTGCATTTGTGTGTGTGTGCTCAGGGGGTGACACAGAGAATAGCTCTTGGCAGCCAATTCTCCTCTTCCACTATGTGGGTCCCAGGCACCAAACTCAGATTGTTGGGCTTGGTGGCATGTGCCTTTACCTGTTGAGCCATCTCAAAGGCCTTAAAAAAAAGTCTCGTGTGGTTCAGGTAGGTCTCGAACTCTCTGTGAGGAGATGAGTTTATCTTATCTTCCTGCCTCTGCCTCCCAAGTGTTGGGAATACTGGTATGTCTTTTTTTTCTTTTTTCTTTTGTTTTTTAATGAATCAAGGAAATTTTTGTATTTCGATATATCAGGGAATGGAATTGAATATTCTTTACTAACAATGTTCCACATAGGACCAGTGTCATTATATCTCTGTGTGGATTTTTATGGATGATCTCGTATGCACACAAGGGACCTTTTTAAAATCACATCGAAGCTTTTAAATTCCATTCAGGTCTTTGGTTTGTCCTGTTGTAATTTTTTCCATCTCCACTCTTCGGACAACTTCCCAGCAATTTCTCCAGAGAACACGGTTTAGTGGACAATGGCTCTTAGCAACCAAGGTGCCCGGTCTGTGGTGTGCTAACTGATGAACAGGCCAGATACTGTCCGCCCTCTTCTCCCATCCTCCCTTCCCCTCCCCTCCTCTCCTCCTCCCTTTTCCTCCCCTCTCCTCCCCTCCCCTTCCCTCCTCTCCTCTCTCTCTGTCCCAGGGCCTGTGTGCCACCACTGACCAGAATGTTTTCTTCAGCCCCGAATGTTTTCTTGAAGTAGCATTTTCTCCTCTGTTGCAGCAAATACACCACCCTGCTGACAGACAGTGAGAACAGGCTGCTGCTCTTCCCGTCCATGTGAGTACAGGGGGCTTTCTAAAGTGTCTCTCGGAACAAGTAACCACATGCATGTCTTCCTTTCCTTGGTATGTTATTAGACAAAAACATTCAAGTCATAGAGAGAGCCAAGGTAATAATTGTCTGTAAGAACATAATTCATTAGTTGTATTCCTGTGGCCATTGCATATTCAGATAGTATGCATAGCATGGCACTCAAGCACTGTAATGTGTGCTTATGTTCTGTACACCAAGCATTGGCATCTCTCTGCTGCCTTTCTCTTGCACTTGAAGCCTAGTGTTTATGGCCCCTCCTTTTTTCTGTCACATATAGTAACATATGTGTTTCTGTCACATATAGTAACATATGGTGATATAGCACCTTTGGGGTTAGAATTATTTTTCTTTTAAGAAAAAATTACACTATTTTCATTGTTTTAAAACATGTTACTGGTAAATCACTAAATAAGTTCATCTGGGCTTACTCCTTTAAATTGCCTTTAGTATTCAGTATCTCATATATTTCCTGAGACATTTTGCTTTCCTCCGAGGATGGCCTGATGAGACGCTCTTCTCTAAGTGTGTCCTTTGCTATTTAGGAAACCCAATAAAAGAGTAGAAGTCATCCAGCTGGGTGATGTGATGGACACCATGCTGGAGCGGGCTGGAGTAGAAAGTGAGGAGCATGCAGGGCCAACCAAGGTAACTGCCGGTCATAATAGCCCTGTGGTTACCAGTGTGCGCTTGGGAGGCAGTGCTTGGTTTGGAATCTGATTTGCCATTTATTGGTGGGTGGCCCTGGGCAAATCATCTCATGTGCTTGTACATCAATTTCCTAATCTATTGATTAGAAGTAATGATAGTACTTGCCTCATGGGGTTGATTGTGAGTGATACGGAATGGCATGTTTAAATGCTTAGAAAGGGCCTGGCTTAGAGTGAGCACCACACCAACAACTGTTAGTATAGTTATGTGTTGTTTAGTTGTGGGATGTGTTCTGAGAGAGGCGTCATTAGGTGGTGTTGCTGTGCAAACATGTTTGTAGGGATTTACATAAACCTAGACCCACAAGCCTCGTGGGGATAGATGCTATAACCCCACAGCAGTTGTGGCACCATGGTAAGGATCCTTGATCAAGACAGAGAAGGTCAATAAAAATATCAGGTCATGGGGATTTTTCAGTTCCACCCTAACCTTACAGAACCTTAGTTATGACTGAAGTATTGTTATTTGGCATGTAATTATATTTCTGAAGACTCTGTGGAAGACTCTAATTATACTTGTTTTTATTTTATTTTTCCTTTTTTAAAAAATATTTATTTATTATGTATACAGTATTTTCAGTATTCTGTCTGCATGTATGCCTG